TACATTGATCGTAATATAAGTTAGTCAACCGTTAAAATGATAAAACGACGTCGTTTTGATTCTATNTTTTTAATCTTCTCTAATTAAAACTTTTGTTACTATTATTTTTGATTCTTATAAATATATTAACATATTTTGTAATTATTATATCTTCAATAAAATTATATTATACTAAAATATAAATAATAAAATATTTATAATCATACAAAATTAAATATATTTCATGTTTTCAACTATTTACAAAATGTCCATATATAAATTATTTTAAAAATAAAACTTAATGGTAATTTATTTTATTTTGGTAAAGTATATTCAGCTTATATTAATTTTAAGAAACAAAAGAAATTAACTTTCAAGTTTTAAAATTTTAAAATAATTTATATATGGACAAAACTTATTCAATCAAAATAATAGGCCAAATTTTACGATATGAATTGAGTTAAACAAAAAAAAATAATAGGCCAAATTTTATGTTCAAATTAAGATATAGACAAAACTTATTCAATCAAAATAATAGCTTGTACCATCAAAATTAAAATTTAATAAATACTAGATTTTGACCCGCGCAACTGCGCGGGTATTTGTTTTCGTTTATAGTTAATTATATAAACATTTTGTTTTTAGTTGTAAATTGGTATATATTATAATAATCACATATTTACGATATGTATACATAATAATATTATATAATAAGTGTTTTTATCAAATAGATTGTTTCAAATTTTCTATATTATACATGTTTTTCAAACATGTGTTTGTTTATTCTTCTATATTTTATTGTTTGTTAGATTACTATTTCATTTTTAGATAAAGTAGTATAAATAGAGCTTGAATAAATATTAGTATACTTTAATTTGCAAAGATAATATAAATTTCAAAGAAATTTTTGCTAAAAACTAAACTTATAGCTTCATAAATTAATATTATAAAAAATTTTATCAAAACAATTTATTTTTTTTAGACAATATAATTTTAAAATTTTACATCGAAATAAATTTATCTAATATATATAACGTGTAAATTTTGTTAGGGTATATAAATATTCCATATTATTAATATGTGATTTTTGTTAATATATTATGGATGCATTTAACTATTATTGACATATTTCCTTATAAATAATAGAAGATTTATAAACTTATATCTATTGACATATTTTGCATGACTAAGTTGGAAGATGTGGGGTAATTACCAAAACCAAATTGTTAAGCGTATTTTTGTTATTATAGATATGATTTTTAATAAGATATAATAATGATAAGATTCTTAGAGAGTTAATATAACATAACTTTCTAGTAATAGTCCATTTTTAAAAAAATCACACATGAAATCAAGTCATGACTTCTGTTTTAATATATAAGATATGTTCTTAACTTTAAAATAATTAAATCCTTAAAAACAGAAAAAAAAATCTTAAATATGCTTAAGATGTAATTGGAATACCTAAGACGTATTATCTTGTATCCCCTATATATTAACCGAGAAGCATTTGAAAAGTTGTAACCTTAAGTTTGTATTAATTAAAACATAACCTCATCTTATGTGGCATATCTCTATGCATTCTATTTCAATTTAAAAGGATTCTAGAGCACCTCCTATAAAGTATAGTTTTAAAACATGGTCCGTTGATTTCATATAAGACATATCAAACTAAATAACATATCAAACTAAATCTCCTATATATTCTTTCATTAAATAAAACCTACGGAATTAATTAATGTGATTAAGATATATATGATTACTAATGATTTTAAATAATAAAGATTTGTTAACAATATGTATATTTTATATCATTTTTGTTTAATTTTTTATTATTAAAATAAATTACACAACTACACTAATCATATAATAAAAATTTAGATTTTTTATATATGTTGTATTTTGAAATTTTCAAAAGAGTATAAATTACTAAAACTGTCAAAACTCTCACATAAATTTTTGTGATCAAGGTCTAATTTTTTCTTTTATAATAAGTTAGATTTATTATAAAATCATATGAATAAATAATTTTAAATTAATAGGTGTTTATGTTATTATATATATATATCTCATATCGTATGAATAAATAATATTATTTTAAACATAATTATAATTTCAAATTTAACTTATTTTTTTTATTTAAAAAGGTTTATTTTTAAAAAATATATTTTTATGATATTATTAGATAAATAAATAAATTATATTAAATTAGTTTTGCAACTTTATACACTGAAACCTCTATAAATTAATAGTGTCGGGACTACACCAAAATCATAATTTTTTATTAATTTATCGATATACTAACTGAACCAAAAACTCAATTTAATATTATAAAATTATATTATTTTAAAGATTTTTAGTGTATATTAATTTATAGAATATTAATTTATAGAATATTAATTTAAAGAGGTTATACTGTATATTCTAAATGAAAATATTTTACCAACTGCTTCTTTAGAAAGTATTAGGAAACTTCATAATGTTCTATCAATTAAGCCATGTGACACTCCGTTTATTTTCCATCACTTGAGCACTGAAAAGTGAAAAGATATATGAATCAGACCTATTAAATTCTAAGTTTTGATCTACAGTTCTAATTACAATTGTTTATGATCCTACGTATAGATAATTATATAAAAACTCCAAAATTCCAAATACATATAAAATAATCATATGTAAATTTTAAATTTGTCAATACTAAAATTTTATATTTTGATTACATACACTTACCATGCGCAATGCGCATGTCTTATCCTAGTATGCTATTAAATGGTGGTATCATAAAAATGAAAAGAGTTTGTAGATTCACATGGAGACTTGTAATAATCACACAAAAACTTAATTTAAATTAAAATAGTATAATTACTTATATTTTCAGTTGAGAAACTAATTACTAAACTTCCAAAGGCTTCTCTATTTCTTTTTATCACATTTTTTTATCACAAGGCTTCTTTCTTTTTCAATTTGAGAAAATATAAAATCAAAAAGAGATATACAAAATATTCCAGCATTCCAAAGTTTTGTCCAATCTTTCCAACGATTAAGTCTCGGTTGGGTCGTTTCTTGAATGAACTAGCAATTGATAGAAATTGAAGAAAACTGAAAATGGAAACAGAACTGTGTTCCATCTGTTTGAAGGATATCTCGTGTGGCAGTCAGTAGTGGATCTATGAGTATATTTAATTGGGGGCACAATACTAAAAATAACAGAAACAAAATTGAAATATGCCAGTTTTGTTGTTTATTCACTAAACTAAGAACATTTTAATCAAATTAACATAAAAAATTCAAAGGAAAAGAAAAAAAATAGTAGAGGGCATGTGGCCCAGTTACGGTAGTTCTCCATCCGCCTCCAGTGGTAGTTCTCATATGAGAAATTTTTGAGAAATGCACCTTCAACCACAACCTTGTTGCTGGTTTGTGCTGGTTTGAACAAACTAGTCGCATCGGTGGTTGTAACAGCCTGTGTTATTGTATGTGTCCGTCTATAATATATGCACAAAATCATATTGATAATTTTGTTAAGAAAACAGTTAGTGGACCTTTTGAAAACTTCTTCATCAGTAAAAGTATATTCTCAATTTTTATAAGAAGTTAACAAATTAATCTTTTAAAATGCCTATGATATAAGAATCCAACATGTAACATATAAGTACCTAGTTAATGGTGACACTCAATATTATGATATAAGAATCCACCATGTAACATATAAGTACCTAGTTATTGGTGACACTCAATATTTTGATTCGATTAATACGTATTGTGTATAAAATACATTGTTAGTTTGTTTCTAAAATAATTTCCTTCACAAATCACAACTACTAATCAGCATTATATATCATTTACGAAAAAATACTATTGTTACTATGATACCTAAAATTGAAAAATATGAAATGACTTGTATCACATACTTACCGTCCAACTTATGAAAACTTGGCTGGTAGTGACCATATAAATCTGGAGTAAAATGATTAAACTACAGTTATTAAGTCATTTTTAGACATTTTCTTATTGAATTGAAAAGTAAAAAGTGTTTGTAGATTTGTTGGGGAAAAATTGTACATGCCAACCTACTTCAATATTGTTGATGTCATTGTTGATGTAAGATCCAGATACGAGCCAAATTTGACCCAGTCTAAACTCGTCTTCTGATTCTATAATAGGATGCCATACATTCATTGTAGCATGCGTTCCATATATTTTTGATCGATTATCGTACAACGATCGTATGCTATATTTCCAAAAAACAACAAGCCCAAATTACCAATATATGCCATATATATTGTTTATGATTATGGTATGTCCATAGAACAAGCAATCCAAATTATCACGTAAGACATAGTATGAAAGGGTATGTTTATTAATAAAATTTCTATAAATAATATTAATGACTTTTTACAAATATTATTATTATCAAATACACACAAATTATGTTTACATGTAAACTTTACTAAAATTAGATTAAACATAAGTAATAATTATATAAAATATAAGTAAAATTATAGAAAATATAAGTAAAAGTTATGTAAAATATAAGTAAATTATATAAAATATATGCAAAAATTATATAAAATATAAGTAAAATATTATTTAAATCTAAAAATTTGTATTAACAATTCGTTTTAGTAATTTATGATTGATTAGAGTAAAAATCTTGATGGTAATATTAACAAATATTGATATACAATTATTTTTATAGAATTATCTTTAATAATTATTAATGATTGATTAGTTTGTAAAAGTGTGTGATATTTTATATTATATAGATGATATTAAGAAAAAGTATAAAATATGCTGTTAAAAGTTTGCTTAGGCCATATAAAATATTAGAGCAGCACTGTTTATAATTTTATGTAAAATAAATGCATATTATCATCTCTTGAAAATAAACTATGTGACTATGTTAGCTTAAACCCGTCATATATATAGAAAATGATGTAAACAGAAACAGTTGAGCTGAATAATATTCATTTACATTTCTTCTAACAACTTTCTTCTCTCAAGTTCATCTTCTCCGAGATTCAAGTTTCCATAGTTCTATTACAGCCGGATCCCATTTGAGTCGATGTATGATGGCCGAAAGCCTGCGTGTTCACTATCTCACCTCCCCACTCAACTCTCACTGCGTACTCGTTCAAGAGCGTGAACAGAAAAGACGGCCAATAACCAATGGGCTCAAAGAGGCCATCGTCAATAAGGAGACCCAGCCACCAGCTCCCAAGCTTCTGATCCTATACTTGTATTTATGTTTGGGTTAGAAAAATATTATGTGATAAAAATAATAATTAAAAAAAAGAAGAGAAAAACTAACTTTCCATATTTTAATTGTGAGATCGACGGTTTATAATTTTATGTAAAATAAATGCATATTATCATCTCTTGAAAATAAACTATGTGACTAATGCGTTAGCAACTCTTCCAAAAATGTTGTAAATGTTCAAAAACGTTAAGAAATTGTGATTTGAGAACACAATTGGCCCGTTCAAAAATCATTGCAAATCCCTTAATATACTTCATCCGTCGATTTTTCGTATAGTATGATTCAAATTTTTTCAGATTTCAGGTTTTAAGACATTTGGAAGATAGGCTTCTAAATAGAAATGTGTTTTATTTTAGTATGCATTGGGATAAATTCTAGTTAGTCTAGGATAATGATAACTTTACTTCTAGTCCTTATCTACTTAGGATCATTCTGATGTATAAATACCAAGCTATTGCTTTCTTAATAAACAAGTCATTCTATTCCCACATATTTCAGTATGAGCTCATAGGTTCATAATACAAGTCGGTTTGGATTTTATTGGATACTTTTGGTATATAATTTTCTGAACAATTTGGTGTAAATATTGAATTTTGGTACAGTTTGTGATTCACATAATGAATTCCACTTCAGTTCGGTCCTCATTAGGTGAATATCATTCATTGTTAATAAACATTTTCAATTAATTATAAACGGAATAACAAAGGGAAAGAATAGTCATGTATCTCATGTAGGCCTAAAATCATGTGGTTTGGTAGCGGTGACTCCGGCTCCATACTCTAGAGCTTCTCAATGTGTCGTTTGGATGAGGAAACAGTTTTCGAAGTGGAATTGAGCCCTCGGAGCACTTGGTTCCGATGGTGTGCCACACTTGCCAAATATTTTCCATTCCTCAGTCTAGTGGTAAAGCAGAGTGGAATGTGGCTCAATTTACCGAGTCCGAACCATAATATTCTCACAAAAACTTTTCTATTACTCCTTCTGTTTCAAAAATATTGTATATTTTATTTTTTTCCTACATATTAAGAAAATATATAAAATTTTGATCATCAATGTAGCATTTTTTGTAGTTAACAATTCTCCACAATTTTTAACCAATAGAATTTGATTAAACACAATTATTTTTTTGGAAATTTATAATTTATCATTAATCAGTACATTGAAAATGTAAAAAAATGTATCTTTTTGAAACAAATATTTTTTTCTAGAATATAGATCTTATTGAAACAGAAGGAGTATTTAACAGTAAACATTTCGTCAAAGAAAAAAAACTTAATCTATATTATTATTTATGAAATGATTTTACTTATTTGTCAAATTTTCCATAGTATTAGATTATTTTGTTTATTTTTCACTGTTTATTAATTATTTTTCATTTTCCATAAATTTGGATAATTTGTTCATTTATTATGTTTTTAATAATTTTTGTTTTAATTATTTGTCATATTCTCCACAATTTAGGTTATTTATTTATTTTTCCTCTTCTTACTAATTTTAATTGGTAATTTTATTTATTGTCATATCCTGAAATAAGTTTTATGTTTGCTTACATATCATTTTCTCCATGATTTTAGGTATTTTTCTTATTTCTCATGTTTTAATATTTTAGATGCTTATTTATCATGTTCCACGATTTAGGTTGAGTCATTAATTTCAAGAAATAACTTTATAAACTGATAATATATAATCATTTTCAGTGATTATTTAATAAATATTTTTCACTATATTTAAGGATAACTATTAATGAAGATTATCAAGTTTTAGCAATAAATTTTATAGATTTTTTCATCTTATGTTTATTTTAATAATATTAAAAATTTTAATGTGTTTATTTATTATTTTTAAAAGTAAGTTTGCTTGTTTTTATGTAACCGAATTATCTTATCAAACCTAAAATATGAGTCCAAAGAATACAATTTCTCTTAAAAAATAAAATTCAGCTTTTACTAGGTATATAATTTATTATTTTTAGTTAATAAAATTTATTTTAAATAAAAGTATTGTTTTAATTATAGTAGATTTTGTTAATTGGTGTCACTATGAACTCTGATGAAAAAAGATAATCATATAAAATACAATTAAGATTTTGATGAAAAGGAGTTTGATTTCATAGGTTTCACTGATAATTGGTAACTATTATTTATTTTGTAGATTCATCTTTTATGTTAATTTAAAGTATTAAACAAAATTTTATAACAAAATCAGTTGAGAAAAAATCTAACAAAATCTTACTAATTAAAATATGTTTTTATAAAATAACAGAATATTAATTTCCTAATTAATAATATAATGCTATTATGTATTAATTAAAATTTTATTATAAAACAAAAATAAAAATTCTATCACATTTTATAATTTTCATATTATAGTCTATATTATATTAAAACAGAATTACTCTATGAATTAAATAAAAATAAAAATCTGGTAAATTAACTTTTTATTTTTATTTTTTTCATTTAAATGCTATAAAAATACTTAATATGTCATATTTGATTATTAACATTAATCAATAAAATATATACCAACTATGCTGAAAAAATAGATTTAAATTTTATTTTTAGTTATACAAAAATCAGTTGAGAAAAAAAAAATCTTACTAAAAGTTCAAATATATTTTTTTATAAAATAACACAAAAATTAATTTCATAATTAATAATATAATAATTTTATACATTAATAATAATTAAAATTTTATGGATTAACATACATAAACTATGTATATTTTTATACAAAAAATGTTAGCAAAGGTTAAGTTCTTATATCTACAACTATATCTTATTTTTTTACTTAATTTAAAACTCACAACTATATATTATCTAAAAAGAGTATATACATAATATATTAGTATATGACTAACTTTTAGTTCATGTATTATTTAAAAAGTAGTATGTCAGGAAATTTTAATAATTCATAAAATAATAATGAAAAATCTTATTAACTACAAATTTATTTTTAATTATAAAATAATATATTGAGAAAATAAATAAAATATAACCAAAATTGTATAAATAATGCATTAATTTAGTAACAAAAATTTCATAGTCATATAATCTTTCAAAATCAAATATATTTAGTATTTTTCAAAATATTTCTTGACCAAATATAAAATTTTGAGAATAAGTATTTTAAACTTAAATTGAAAAAAGGGGGATTTGCCAAAACCAACCTAAAATTTCATTTCAACCCTAAAGGTGTACCCCTTATTGAGTCAAATGCAAAACCAACCTAAAGGGGTTATGAAGTTACTACTTAACCCTTGTGACCAAAAAAAAAAACAGACAGTTATTTTACGGTTCTGTCCTTTGCAAGTCTACT